GCTCGGTTTCCGGTTGCTGCAGTTTATCACGAAGAGGAAGAGGTAAACGAGACGAGCTTATTATCAATCGGGTTTCTGAGGAAGAAGTGCTGGAATACCGAACGAGAAAATTAACCGATATGTCGCGATTTAATTAAAAAAATTTCAAATTTTCCTATCTACCGGTATATAAGAAAATAATTCTATCCACCCGAATATCTTAGAAGACGCTATTATTTCAACGCGGGGAGAAAAATCATGGCCGATTGGCTCGTCTCGTTGGCGAAATTGCGTCGGATTAATCGGTCGTCGCGTTCCCAGGAATCACTTCTCGAACCCGGCAATTATTTATCGGCAAATATACGGCTGATCGTATCGAAATCTGCGTTTTCCGTTAGACGGCCAGGATCTGCGGGAAAACGCTTCTGAAATCCGCCGAGCGATTAATCAATCCGGCCAACAAATCGATGAAAAATGAATTCCCGCGACCGGAAGATTTCCAATCGATGAACTTGCTCATCGCGTACCATCCTTCCGCTCAATCGAACCCCATAGACAACCCCCGAAACCACCTAACACCCCGACTCGAGTATAACGACGAGAGCGAGCGTGGCTCGATGACAGTCGATGAAGAAATTCGAGAATAGTAGGTATGGTACGTCAAGGTAATCGATTTAAGAAAAGGAAGAAAATAATTTCACATCGTTTATGAACTCGTCAATACTTGCCAATGGTGCCTGAGAATAGCACGTACTCTCCGAAAGCAACCCTCATCTTCTAGAATAATTCTAGAATAATTATTCACAACGCAGAGATATTTAATCGAGAAAGAAAAATTATTTAAATAATTCCTACACGATGAACAGAGGATATTTTATAAAGATTTGTATATATGCGATTTATGACACCGCGTGAAATATCAATGAAGAATCAAGTATCGACGTCTCGTAAAGAAGTCGAAATTTATAAGGGAGGTTTATGAACGGTCGTTTCTCGAGACAGCCGAACGACAATTCGCGAGTAATTCACGGGAGATCGGTATTCGCGAACGCCATGGAGTCCTCGAAAAAATTGGCCCATAAATACGTGACGCGGTGAAAATGTATCGGCAACGAATCGATTAAACGATCTGTCTTTTGAGAAAGAATAGGTAGCTCGATCAGCGCGGAAGAAGGGAGGCTAGGTGCAGGGTGCGGGGATCACACTTACAAGACTTACGATCGGCGTGTCTGGTCCTCTTGCGCTCCCGCGGCGTCGTCCTCGTCGCTGGTGTCTTCGTGGCCGTCTTCACCAGCGATTCCAGCAACTCGTCGTCGCCGTCGGTCAGGTTCCCGTTCGTGTTCTCGTCGCGGAGCAAAGGGCCCAGCGAGGTGCGCCCTGGAACACAAATTTCGAGTCGTGTTATGATATGGATAAATTTCAAATTACGTATTTCTGAAATACGAAATTTTATTCTTGTTCGATATCGTGGAATTTATTGTGAATCAATAGGGGTAGTTATGTCGGAATAATTATTATTACGATATAATGTAATTTATATAAAATAACGGAGACAATTAATTCCATAAGAATTAATCTCACCATAAAATACTTGGTAGCTAACGTCAGGAATATTAGATAGTTAT